AGACAGGCATTTGTAGTTCTGTATGATAGCCACATTAGCAGCTAATTAGCATTTCATTTTTGGGGGGTAAATACAGGCTAATATATTGATAAAAGTCACCTTGTCCGAGAGAGATTTACACAGTTATCAAAATGTCACGCCAGGGTAAGCCGACACGAAACATAGCCCTTATTTTAAGTGGAAAAAAACGATTGGAACCATTTCTGTGTTGGACCGCTGGGTTTTATGGGTATTATTACTCATACTGTGGTACTCTATAGCTACTGTAACTCCCAGAGGAGAGGAAAGCCCTGGGTTGATCCCGTAACTCCCAGAGGAGAGGAAAGCCCTGGGTTGATCCCGTAACTCCCAGAGGAGAGGAAAGCCCTGGGTTGATCCCATCCTCAGGTCCCCCCTGTGTAAAAACACCCTGAATGCATCTCTCTCCGTGTAGTGGCAAATAACTGATTGAACTGAAGTTGGCATCTTCCTGAGTGAGACAGATAACTGTGGTGTGCGTGTGTGTGTGTGTGTGTGTGTGTGTGTGTGTGTGTGTGTGTGTGTGTGCAACCTCCATGTGTGTGTGTGTGTAAGTTTGTGGTGTGTATGTGTTTGTTAGAGGGCTTGGTGAGTGAGATTCCCCTGGCGTCACAGTGACCTCTCAACCTGTCACAGCTTATGTAACCCTCAACAGCACAGCCACTCCACTCCACACGCTCATTCTATTCCACTCATTTGGAGTGTGTGTGTGTTTGTGCATGCGTGTGTACGTAATCTGTGTGTGCGTGTGCATGTGCATGTGTGTCTGTGTGTGCCAGTCAGTCAGCCAATCAGTCCGTACTCCGCTGCATGGAGGAAGATTCTACAGATTCTTCTCAGCTCCCTTCTCCGTGCGACAGCAGCAGGCAAGGTGCATTCGTTGCCATGGCAGCAAGCCCAGGCAGCAAGCCCCTTTCATGTCTGTCAAGACTGGCTAGAGAGACAGGGAGAGAGACAGAGAGAGCGAGAGAGACCTAAAGTAGGGGGAACCAGCTATCTAATGGTGTGGCGTGTAGTTTGACGAGCACAAATGTGTGTGTGTGCATGCATGTGTGTGTGTATGTGAACTGTGTCTGTGTGCGAGTGCATGCATCTGTGTGTGTGTATGTGTGTTCACACCCATGTGTGTGTGTGTGTGTGTGTGTGTGTGTTTGTGTGTGTTCCTTGCTACTATATCTCAGTGGACTGGACTCAGGCTCAGCTTGGGCTTAAAGTGATGCTGTTGATTCGCTGATAGAGAGTCTGCCTGATCACAGAACATGAATCATTTAGTCACCAGAGCAGCCCTGGAAATGTCACGTCTCATCACGACGCACCATGCCTCAGTGCCCCAGCAGCTTCACTGTTTACATTACCGCAACCTGAGTTAAGAGGAGGAGGAAGACTTGAGTAAAGAGATAAACTGAGATTTGTTGCATTAGGGTTGTTGGATCATACTTGGGTATTTTCCTGCAGGATCGGAGGGATACTGACACTATCAAGGCCCAACCCAGTGACTGGGACTGAGAAAAAATACATAACATAACAAAGCTTAACTTAAGCAATCAAGAGATTGATTCCTCTAGTCTCTTGATTCATCTAGTCTCTTGATTCTTCTAGTCTCGATTCCTCTAGTTAAGCTTATTGAAATCAGTTTTGAAGTCAAACTGTGGCCTGATTCTATTATTTCCATTAATGAGCATTATTTTGTTGGTAACCCAGTTCCTGTCAATCCAGTTTCATTCCTTATCTGAGTTTACCCAGAAAAAGGAATCTGATTTTTAACCCTAACTGACGCGACTTCTAAGAAATGATGACTTGACCTTGAATGTCGGATGGGAAACTAACAGTCTGAAAGACATCATAAGCAAAACTTATTTTGCAGTGTTTCCATTCCTCTAGGGCCAGGTTTCAAGAACAAGATTAAGACTGCTCCTGGATTAAAAATTATTCTGAATAGTAATTTTAGTCCAGGACTAGACTTAATCTGAGCTGAGAAACTGGCCTCCAAAAGTTTGACTTGAAAACATATTTCTGTGTTGTGTCAGCAGTCTTTCCAATACAATTTAGGAAGCAACAAAACATAGAATTATCCAACATACATCACAATAAACACTGTACACTTCTTAATTAACTTCTTCAGAATCTTTATTACAAGATATTAGGCTACAGTACAAATCAGTAAGATCATAGTACAGTACAGTACAAGGTACGTAGTATTAAGACGGTTCTGAAGGTTAATCATTCAAAGCTGTGTACCACGTGTTCCAGAATACACTAGATCATCTTTAGAACGTTGCCATGCATGCATGATCCCATTTCTGCCATGCATGATTCCATTTCTGCCATGCATGATTCCATTTCTGCCATGCATGATCCCGTTTCTGCCATGCATAATGCCGTTTCTGCCATGCATGCGTTGGTAATTCAGTGGTAAGAAATAGCCCTGAACAATGGCAACTCCCGAAGAAGAACAAAATGTCTACAGTTCTAACGTATAGAAAGCACAATATAAACAACCAAGTTGTCTGGTTATCCCTCATGATATTTGGCACACACGATAATGCGCAATGCAATAGAAATACTTTATCAATAGGGAGGGTGTACAGTTATATTTAACAATCCAGACTTAAGCCTCTTGGAACGTTACAAACATGTGATGTACAGTCCGGTATAATGTATATAAATGACTCTATAGCTGCAAAAACTCATCAGGCGACATCAAAATTCATAAGAAGTAAAAAAAGGAAAAATCGCTTTCATTCATTCTGTCATCGTAATTCTCTACATACAAAAAACTCTCCCTCAGTCAGGCCTTGAGCACTGCAAAATACGTATCCAAAGGGTCAATAAATAAAGTATCTTTATACAGACACGTTATGTTCGATTACAACAAACCATTTCACGCTTATTTTCTCCTCTGTGCAACAAAACGCTAGCCTGATTACCAGATCTATTTGTGCTATCTTGCCAACTCTTTATCACTCATTGTCACGTCAAATATGACCAGGAGTTATAGAGAGTACAAACAGCCTGGCACCCAGGCTAACAGAACGTGGGGCTATAATTTCTTATTCACACGTTATCTATATTATTCATTTGTTTGCACTCGTCGTCAATATCGTATGGTTTGATTGATATAAGAATAGTAATGTAATATCGTATGGTTTGATTGATATAAGAATGGTAATGTAATATCGTATGGTTTGATTGATATAAGAATGGTAATGTAATATCGTATGGTTTGATTGATATAAGAATGGTAATGTAATATCGTATGGTTTGATTGATATAAGAATGGTAATGTAATATCGTATGGTTTGATTGATATAAGAATGGTAATGTAATATCGTATGGTTTGATTGATATAAGAATGTGTGTGCTTTAGTTTATTAGATCATTTAAACCGTTCGTTCCCTGATTTCTGAGTTCGTTCGACAGCATTGTCTCCTTCTACCACTGGAACCTTATATTCCCCTGATACCTTCATCATCATCATCATCATCATCTCCCGGTCACATGGTTTAGACCCTCATCATGCAGGATTTTGCTCCAACCATACTGTAAACACACCTGATTCTACACGGCTACATTTGTTGGCCGCCTGCTTAGGAGTTTTGATTGTACGACCAATGGTTGACTAGTGTAAAAAAGTGTAGGGCTGGAGCAAAAGCCTGCTGCTCACCCAGTAGCTCTCCAGATGGAGGGTTGGCCTTCCCTGTTTTCTCTCTGTCTCCGCCTCTGTCTTCATCTCTGTCTCTGTCTCCGCCTCTGTCTCATCTCTGTCTCTGTCTCCGCCTCTCTCTCTGTCTCCGCCTCTGTCTTCATCTCTGTCTCTGTCTCCGCCTCTGTCTTCATCTCTGTCTCCGCCTCTCTCTCTGTCTCCGCCTCTGTCTTCATCTCTGTCTCCGCCTCTCTCTCTGTCTCCGTCTCTGTCTTCATCTCTCTCTCTCTCTGTCTCCGCCTCTCTCTATGTCTCCGCCTCTCTCTGTCTTCATCTCTGTCTCCGCCTCTCTCTCTGTCTCTGTCTCCGCCTCTGTCTTCATCTCTGTCTCTGTCTCCGCCTCTCTCTCTGTCTCCGCCTCTGTCTTCATCTCTGTCTCCGCCTCTCTCTCTGTCTCCGCCTCTGTCTTCATCTCTGTCTCTGTCTCCGCCTCTGTCTTCATCTCTGTCTCTGTCTCCGCCTCTCTCTCTGTCTCCGTCTTTCTCTCCGCCTCTCTCTCTGTCTCCGCCTCTCTCTCTGTCTCCGCCTCTCTCTCTGTCTTCGCCTCTGTCTTCATCTCTGTCTCTGTCTCCGCCTCTGTCTTCATCTCTGTCTCCGCCTCTCTCTCTGTCTCCCCCTCTCTCTCTGTCTCCGTCTCTCTCTCTGTCTCCGCCTCTCTCTCTGTCTCCGCCTCTCTCTCTCTCTCTCTTTCCGTCTCCCCTCCTCTCTTCTCCGCTCTTCCGTCCTCTCTCTTCTCGCTGTCCCTCCCTCGCCCCTATGTATTTATCTCTCTCTCTGTCTCCGCCTCTGTCTTCATCTCTGTCTCGATCTCTCTCTCTGTCTCCGCCTCTGTCTTCATCTCTCTCTCTCTCTCTGTCTCCGCCTCTCTCTCTGTTTCCGCCTCTCTCTCTGTCTCTGCCTCTGTCTTCATCTCTCTCTCTGTCTCCGCCTCTGTCTTCCTCTCTGTCTCTGTCTCGTCTCCGCCTCTGCCTCTGTCTCGATCTCTCTCTCTGTCTCCGCCTCTGTCTTCATCTCTCTCTCTGTCTCCGCCTCTGTCTTCATCTCTCTCTCTGTCTCCATCTCTGCTTCTGTCTCCATCTCTGCTTCTGTCTCCATCTCGGCTGCTTCCCCATCCTGCCAGTAAACGTCCCAGGAGATCATCATGAGGACTGGGAGAGAGAGGAGATGGGACTGGAAGTGCTTGCTGCCACATGGGGTAAAAGTGCTTATATACAGTGTCTTTGGATTGTAAATATCAAATAGAAAATGAGAATCAATGTCCTTCCGGGGGGTGATGTGTTTAAGCCTCTGTCTGTGTTTTCTCTGTCCCGTTTTTTAGCGCCTCGTCAACGCCGTTCTCGTCCTCGACAACTGTGGAGAACATGGAAGAGATAAGGAGGAGGCGGGTTGGCCCGTTATCACACCTAGGAATCTGATCTTTCATTGATATGAATGCATGGAACTCATTCACTAGGCTACAGCACTGAACGGAAGGAGAGAGAGAGAGAGCGATAGAGAAAGTGAGATGGTGTGTGTGTGTGCGCATGTGTTGGAAGTGTTGCATGTGCTACGTTTATTTAATTGGTCATACACGACACACACACACACACACACACACACACACAAGAATAAGAGACACATCCAGAAAATATTATAGAATCCTCTAGAATCCCAGCATGCATGTTGGTTGGAATATTCAGTAGAACAGCATGACTACACTTGTACTAACAGGCATTTGACAGTGACTGCGCATCCAAACTTGTATTGCAATGCCAACAGAATTCTTAAAAACCATTGATCCCATACCATAATCATCAGAATAGAAACATGCTTGGAGTGGAATGGGATAGCCTACTGTGCTTCACCGAGAGATGGTGGATAGATTCCACTTCCCATTGAATTGCCCATACCATTCTTTCCCATTCCATGATCGGTTTATGGACATTGAAGACATCCCCCATCACACAATTGAAAATGCTTTGATGGTCATAGTTACCTCGTTTGCTTCTGCCTATCTGTCCAAGTTTGGGCGGGCGTTTTCCCCCCTGCGAACCGCTGAAGAAGTTGTTGGTGTCTTGGAGGCGACAGGTGAAGGAAAGGTGTCCCTCGTCATCCTCATTTCCATAATGACTCATTTTGTCTTGTAGTACTTCCGACATGTCCAACTGCGTCTCAATGATCAACCAAGGTGCACAAACGAAAACAAAATGTACCTCCGCTCGACGTCTACGACCACTATGGTGGCGTTATAACCGCGTATAGCCGCTTATAACGTAGGAGAAAAACAATATAACGAAGGCTACTATCTGGCTGCCCAGTCCTGCCGTCTGTTTACCTCGAAGGCACGTGTCTTGTCTGGTGCGCAACCAAACGCGATTGATCCAAATTGATAAAAGAAACGCTCAATTTCTACTTTCGGAAAGCTTCGGCAACATTATTCAAATGTTCCAATGGGTTCTACTGTGCGTATTGTTTTGGAAACGCAGGGCGCATGTATATTGCCACGGTGGTACGCCTTCTTCTAGCTAGAGGAACCGCTGGAGCGCCGCACGGAAAATCTGAGGAAGAAATGCAAATTGAGGAGCGATGCAAAACACGGATCCCGCGGGGAGACTGGGCGGAGGGAGGGAGGGAGGGAGGGCGAGAGGGAGAGCAGAGAGAGATGGAGAGCAGAGAGTGTGGTGCTGCAGACCTCAGCCGGTCCAGAACAGAGAAGATTCCAGTTTGGACCGACTGACTGACTGACGGACTGATGTTACATCTACCCGCCGTCATCTAGCTGGAATCTCAATGACACTAGAATAATATTTTATTGTAGGCTATATGGTGAATATGGTCGACTGGAAGGCTAAATATTGAGCTATACATTATTATATAATTTTCATCGACGTATTAAATAGGCTAAGTAAGATAAAAGAAAGTTGATGATTCATATTTTGGAAATGTAAGTCCAACATGGCCTTTTTTATCCAGAGAATTGTGGGCCTACTGAGATGTTTGGCTGATTTAGAATCGAATGTTGAGCTGGTGTACTGTACAGGCCTTGTCACTGTATTTTGCCCAATACTGTGTGATGGCCTATATTGATCTATTGTTTTTCTTCGCGTCATGCTGTGCTGTGCAGCCTAATGCCTGTGTTACATCAGTGTTGTAATGGATGGACCCATCTAGTGGACAAGCAGGAAGCCTCACCAGAGGATGGCAGTGTTTTCATATAATCAGACACAGGCGGTCAGATTTTGATCCATGTACACGTCCTGGTCCTGTTTCTCACCCTGAACCATATACCTAAACTGAACTGGGAACACAAAGCCCCTTAAGACTTTTACACACATACGGTTTGTTCAGTTGTTCTGTTCTGAATACCCATATTTTCACATACACTCACATAGGGGCAGGTTGAGTCCACTCAAGCAGGAGACCACATTTTGTTCCATGAGGACCACAGAGACTCAGTCACACAACACAATCAAATCCCTGTAGGAAACATTCGCCAGAGTTGGAAAGAGAGAGAGGGGAGTTAGAAGGAGAGAGAGGGCAGAGAGAGAGAGAATGAGAGAGAGAGAGAGAGAGGGGGAGAGAGAGAGAGAGAGAGAGAGAGAGAGAGAGAGCGAGAGAGAGAGAATGAGAGAGAGAGAGGGGGAGAGGGGGGGGGGGGGGAAAAAAACAAAAAAAAAAAAAAAAGGGGCCCCGGGGGGGGGGGGGGGGGGGGAAAAAAAAAAAAAAAAAAAAAAAGGGGGGGGGGGGTGGGGGGGGGGGGGGGGGGGGGAAGGGGGAAGGGGGGTGGGGGGGGAAAAGGGGGGCCCCGGGGGGGGGGGGGTTTTTTGGGGGGGGGGGGGAAAAAAGGGGGGGGGGGGGGGGGGGGGGCCCCCGGGGGGGGCCCCCCCAAGGGGGGGGGGGGAAGAGGGGGAAAAAAAAAAAAGAAGAAAGAGAGGAGAGGGGGGGAGAAAGGGAAAAAATGAAAAAAGAGAGAAAAGGAGAAGACACCCACAAATTCCCTGGTAAATGGCAAAACAAAAAAAAATTTTTAAAAGGGGGGGGGGGGGGGCGAAAAAAACCAATATAATTTTTTACCCTCTTTTTTTAGGGAAATTTTATAGAAAAATTAAAAAACAAGAAACCCAAAAATTTGTCCTGGGAATTTTTAGAGAGCTAGAGAGGTCAGGGGGTGAGAGACAGAGAGAGAGAGAGAGAGCAAGAGAGAGAGAGAATGAGAGAGAGAGCGAGGGGGAGAGACAGAGAGAGAGAGAGAGTGAGAAGAGAGAGAGAGAGAGAGAGATACTACTGCTCACTATTGTAAGTCTCGCTGGATAAGAGTGTCTGCTAAATGACTAAAATAGAAAATGTATTAGAGAGAGAAAGAGAGGGGTGTGGCTGTAAGTAAATCACAGAATATAATTTATCCCACCCTCTTGTTTTACAGACAGTATGGAGTGAGAGAGAGGTGATGAAGCCACACACACGAAACCAAACACCAGCTCTTGTACCTGGGCCAACCCTGTCACACCTAGTCCCCCAGGACCTGCGGGAGTCAGCGGAGAGCCCTGAGATTAGCGACAGGGACTACATGTATCTGATGTGTGTTTTAAAGCCTTCTGTACTAGAGCAAAGTGTCATTATCTAAGGGTAACACACAGTATTAACGTATCAGTGGATTATTAATGTGTTATAATAGTTAGTGCAGTCTTGTATTATTATTATTATTAATAATAATAATATGATTACTATTATTATTATTACTATTGTTATTATTATTATTACTATTATTATTACCATTATTATTATTATTACTATTAATCTTTGTATTACTATTATTATTATTGCTATTATTATTACTATTATTATTACTATTATTACCATCATTATTATTATTATTACTATAATTATTATTACTATTGTTATTATTAATATTATTATTACTATTGTTATTATTAATATTATTCTTATTCTTATTACTATTACTATTATTATTACTATTATTATTATTACTATTATTATTACTTATCAATTCAATCAAAGGGATAGAAATAGAGAACTGTAATCCAACTACTTTATGATGTAGGCATTTATTCATATAAAATGATGAGGATGTCATTGAATTAATAATTACAAATGATAAATCCATAAGGTGCCATTTAACCCGAATGGTGGTATCTACTACAGTAACACAGGCACTCCCGACAGGAGCCCTTCTTTCTCAAGTAGTTTAATCACGTCCTCGTTTAAGTAGTTATGATTGTACAAGGACTTGTGTAGTGTCTCTGGTACCATCAACCCCTTCTATAATAGCCATTATACACTCTGTCAATCATTTTTATTATTATTATTATTATTATTATTATTATTTATTATTATTATTATTATTATTATTTTTATTATTATTTTAAAAAAAAAAATGGGGGGGTCAGCTTTAATATTTCAGATAGATTGTAACTTCCATCAATGTAATTGTCTGCATCACTTCCAATCCCCCATATGTTTATTTTTTCTCGCAAATATATACATATATATATATATATATATATATATATATATACAGTGAGGGAAAAAAGTATTTGATCCCCTGCTGATTTTGTACGTTTGCCCACTGACAAAGACATGATCAGTCTATAATTTTAATGGTAGGTTTATTTGAACAGCGAGAGACAGAATAACAACAAAAAAATCCTGAAAAACACATGTCAAAAATGTTATAAATTGATTTGCATTTTAATGAGGGAAATAAGTATTTGACCCCTCTGCAAAACATGACTTAATACTTGGTGGCAAAACCCTTGTTGGCAATCACAGAGGTCAGACGTTTCTTGTAGTTGGCCACCAGGTTTGCACACATCTCAGGAGGGATTTTGTCCCACTCCTCTTTGCAGATCTTCTCCAAGTCATTAAGGTTTCGAGGCTGACGTTTGGCAACTCGAACCTTCAGCTCCCTCCACAGATTTTCTATGGGATTAAGGTCTGGAGACTGGCTAAGCCACTCCAGGACCTTAATGTGCTTCTTCTTGAGCCAATCCTTTGTTGCCCTGGCCGTGTGTTTTGGGTCATTGTCAATCTGGAATACCCAGGAGGTTCTCACCCAAGATTTGACGGTACATGGCCCCGTCCATCATCCCTTTGATGCAGTGAAGTTGTCCTGTCCCCTTAGCAGAAAAACACCCCCAAAGCATAATGTTTCCACCTCCATGTTTGACGGTGGAGATGGTGTTCTTGGGGTCATAGGCAGCATTCCTCCTCCTCCAAACACGGCGAGTTGAGTTGATGCCAAAGAGCTCGATTTTGGTCTCATCTGACCACAACACTTTCACCCAGTTCTCCTCTGAATCATTCAGATGTTCATTGGCAAACTTCAGACGGGCCTGTATATATGCTTTCTTGAGCAGGGGGACCTTGCGGGCGCTGCAGGATTTCAGTCCTTCCTGGCGTAGTGTGTTACCAATTGTTTTCTTGGGGACTATGGTCCCAGCTGCCTTAAGATCATTGACAAGATCCTCCCGTGTAGTTCTGGGCTGATTCCTCACCGTTCTCATGATCATTGCAACTCCACGAGGTGAGATCTTGCATGGAGCCCCAGGCCGAGGGAGATTGACAGTTCTTTTGTGTTTCTTCCATTTGCAAATAATCGCACCAACTGTTGTCACCTTCTCACCAAGCTGCTTGGCGATGGTCTTGTAGCCCATTCCAGCCTTGTGTAGGTCTACAATCTTGTCCCTGACATCCTTGGAGAGCTATTTGGTCTTGGCCATGGTGGAGAGTTTGGAATCTGATTGATTGATTGCTTCTGTGGACAGGTGTCTTTTATACAGGTAACAAGCTGAGATTAGGAGCACTCCCTTTAAGAGTATGCTCCTAATCTCAGCTCGTTACCTGTATAAAAGACACCTGGGAGCCAGAAATCTTTCTGATTGAGAGGGGGTCAAATACTTATTTCCCTCATTAAAATGCAAATCAATTTATAACATTTTTGACATGCGTTTTTCTGGATTTTGTTGTTGTTTTTCTGTCTCTCACCGTTCAAATAAACCTACCATTAAAATTATAGACTGATCATTTCTTTGTCAGTGGGCAAACATACAAAATCAGCAGGGGATCAAATACTTTTTTCCCTCACTGTATATATATATATATATATATATATACAGTACATATACATACATATACACAGACATACATATAAATACATATATACATATCCTTTTTAAAGATATACTTCCCTTTATTACTTTCCAACCCCTTCCCTAATTGGAGTAAACTAGTGAACAACAACGCTTAGGCCTCTACTTCCAGCTTATACATACTATATACATTTTATAGACAGTCAATTTTACAATAATTATATTTTGTTTGTTCTTACTCCCGAACTTCCTCTACCCTCAACCTCCCCCATCATTTCCATGATGTCCATCAGGTTTGCCTCTACATGCCATATCTTTCTAACTGTGCTCTTTCACAAAAGCTCTCAACCTATAACCTATATACTTATTATGGACACAGTGTTCTGACATTAGTACTTGTTGTTATTAGTTGTTGTTAGTGTGTTATTAGTCCCATCATTCAGCTCCATTCAACACCTCCCATTCAACACCTCTGTCAATCATTTTTAAAACTGAATAAAAATTTGTTTTTAAAACAAAAACCCTTTTTTAGAGGGGTTGCTTATTTTAAAAAATTTTTTCCCCTTTCCCTTGCTTTTTTAAAAAAATTTCCCCCCCCTTTAAAAAAAAAAAAAAACCCGTTTTTAAAAAAAAATTGGTTTCCTCCCTCCCCCCCCCCCCCTTTTTTTCCCCCCCCCCAACCCCCCCCCCCAAAAAAAGGGTTTTAAAAAAACCCCCCCCCCTTTTTTTCAAAAAAAAAGGGCCCCGGGAAAAAGAAAAACCCCCAAAAAAAATTTTTTTTTTAAAAAAAAAAAAAAAAAAACCCCCCCCCCCCTCTCCCCATCAAACCCGTCTCCCTTCCCTCTCTCCCTTTCCTCCCCCCTCCTCTCCCCCTTCTACCTCTCTCTCCCCCCTCCTCTCCATTCTCTCGCTCCACCCTCTCCCTCTCTCTAAATTTCCCCTCTCTACCTCTCTCTCGCTCCCCCCTCTACCTCTCTCTCGCTCCCTCCCCCTCTCCCCTCTCTACCTCTCTTTAATACTTCAGGCAGCGAATGTAGGAGCTGTAGATGGTTCTGTCGACCCACCGCCGGAACTTGGACACCGCCGTGTAAACGCCCGGAAACTTGGCATCTCCGCAGCCGTTTCCCCAGGATACCACACCGTAGACACGCCCTTCGCACACCAGCGGCCCGCCGGAATCCCCCTGGAAACCACAAGATACACCACAAGGTACACCACACCCTCACTCAGTTTCCATGACAACACGTCTCTTTTACTGAGGCCACCACAAGGTAGGTCACTATCACAAGAAGAGAGGAAATGTGAAATTAAAACGTAATTGTGTTGTGTAACTATAGCATAATGTAATAGGTTCTTGAACGCACCCTTAACTACCCTACTATACAGCTAGTGGGAACTGACAGGCCAATAGGGCGTGTTCAAAAAATCCTGTTACATCTATCAGGTCCAGTACCTTGCACGCATCCTTGCCTCCAGCGTTGTATCCGGCACAGATCATGTTGGAGGTGATGTTTCCGTTGAACGACTCGCTGCTGTTGCACCTGGCCGATGACACGATGGGCAGCTTGACAGTCAGCAGGGTGGAGGGGATCTGACCCCCTCCCAGAGAGGTGTACCCCCACCCCGATACCCGACATACCCGCCCCGCCATAACCCCTGTACCCTGCCGAGGGAGGGGCGCCAGCGACACATAGCTACCAATCACCATGGGAACCCTCAGCTGCACAGGGTGGAAGAAAAGAGATAGAGGGGGGAGTTGAATTGAGTTGAGTTTAGTTGAATTGACTGAGGTGAGTTGAGTTGAGTTGAATTGAACTGAACAGAATTGAACTGAACTAAACTGAAATACTTACTAAGTTATTACAAGGTAATTACAAATGTACTACACCTAGTTACTCTAATACAAGGCCTATCACTTGGCCAAACATCATAAAACGGCTGTATCCAATGATGTTATAATATACATGAATATGAAAGGTAGGTAAATATGTAAATTGTCTATGGTTGTATCCGGTACCTTGATGAGCATGATGTCAGCGTTGTTGGTGGTCTTGTTGTACAGAGGATGGGGGATGAGTCTGTGAGGCTTGGAGTACTGCTCCGTTCCCTCAAAAGTACTCAGAGAGTAGTCCCCTGCCACAATCATCATCTGCTCTGTCCTGGGAGGAGAGGAGAGTTGAGGAAGACATCAGATATACATTCAACTTCGTTGTTTACAGTTAGTAAACGTGAAGTATTGCCATCTGCTCTGTCCTTAGAGGGGGAGCGCAATTTGAGCTGTGTTCAACTTGGCAAACACTGACTAACGTTATTTAAAATAAATATCCCCTTCTGCTTTATTCAAATAAGAACAGAGGAAAAGACATCTGAGGTGCGTTCAATGTCCCAAACATTTTGCTTTGCGCTGACTGCACTGAAGTGTGTGTATAAGTGGGTACAATGCTTCTCTGTGTGAAACGGGAACAATGTGACTGTTATCCTTTCTAAACTTACGACGTCTGACATGTTGACACCTCGCCGTGTAACACGCACGCTGCGATGACAGACATGCCAAGGTTGCCCTGCTGAGCTGTCTCTTATTCCCCTTGCTGTCTGTCTGACCTCCCAGTCCCAGCCCCCACTGACGCTGCTAACAACGAACAAACAGAGATCATGACTGACTCTTACAACAACAACAAAATATGAAAAAATCATCGCTGAAAAAAAACGGTGTGAGATTCTTTGTTTTTTTTCTAAACATTTTCACGAGACACGTGGTTTTCGGACACGTGTGACGTTTTCAACACGTGAGAGAGAAAAAATATACCCCACGTGTGAACATTTATTTATCACAATTTCCAGCTATACCTGATCTCTCATCCAGGGACTGACCAGGACCGACCCTGCTTAGGTTCAGAGGGAAACCAGCAGTGGGACGCACGGTGCTATGTTGCTGGACTTAATGTGACAAATATTGTAACTGGAAAAAAGGCAAAAAAGCAAAGGCCAGGATAACATAACAAATGAAAGCAAAGGCCAGGGTAACATAACCAATGAAAGCAAAGGCCAGGGTAACATGACCAATGAAAGGAAAGGCCAGGGTAACATAACCAATGAAAGCAAAGGCCAGGGTAACATAACCAATGAAAGCAAAGGCCAGGGTAACATAACCAATGAAAGCAAAGGCCAGGGTAACATAACCAATGAAAGGAAAGGCCAGGGTAACATAACCAATGAAAGCAAAGGCCAGGGTAACATAACCAATGAAAGCAAAGGCCAGGGTAACATAACCAATGAAAGCAAAGGCCAGGGTAACATAACCAATGAAAGCAAAGGCCAGGGTAACATAACCAATGAAAGCAAAGGCCAGGGTAACATAACCAATGAAAGCAAAGGCCAGGGTAACATAACCAATGAAAGCAAAGGCCAGGGTAACATAACCAATGAAAGCAAAGGCCAGGGTAACATAACCAATGAAAGCAAAGGCCAGGGTAACATAACCAATGAAAGGAAAGTAGCAGGAAAGAGGGAGACGTTTTATTTTATCATGTTGTCATAAGACATTTTTCACTGAAAATATTTTTGGTATCCATTTACAATTCATTTGATCTCACATTTCGAAAATATTTCCTGGCAATATTTTGTTTTGCTATCAATACTTTTTGGGTTTTACGTTTTGCTTTCAATGTCATTATTTTTGTTTGCAGTACAAATAATTTTGTTCTCGACTTCAGAAGTTTTGCTTGATATTAATGGCACAAAAGTAACTCACTCACTATTACTCTATTAAAGGTGTTTAAAGCAGCAATTCTTAATTGAAACGTTAACAAAGCGTTTCCCCGCCACAGCTTCAGTAAAAAGCTGAGGGATGGGGCTGGAGAAATGCAACTACTCTCAAATCCATAGACTACACTATGGATGCCAGGACTGACCACTGGCATTAAACAAAGCATGTGTGTCCATGCATGCTGATGATTCAACCATATACGCATCAGGAACAAAACAGCTAATGAAGTCACTGAAACCCTTAACAAAGAGTTGCAGTCTGTTTTGGAATGGGGTGGCCAGTAATAAACTGTTATTTCTATTTCTTGTGTGTTTTTGTTCTGCTTGACTTTTTAAAATGTATTTTTGATCATACTACTGCAGTGTTGGGAAAGAGCAGGCAAGAAAGGCATTTCACTGTACTAGTGCACGTGACAATATAAAACGTGACACTTGAATTTTAGAGGAAATGACTGGTATATGGAAACAACCCTTAGCCCATGCCTAAACCAATACAGTGCTTTTACATTTGTTGAGAGTAGGTGAACAAGTGCACACTTCAGGAGGAAGGAGAGGTTATTGGGACGCACCCCATGATCCCATTCAAGTTATAATAACGCTTTTAATCTGATCTGGAGACACCTACCTTCAAAGACATCCGCTTCAACATCTGCATGCATATTCATATGGATACAGTGTTGGGAGTCACACTAACTTCTCCTCAGTGTAATAATAACGCAGTATGTTGACTGACTTACCCTATGTTACAGTGCGCGGCTGTAAGCACCCAGTACTTGTGTACTAGAGACCCTCCACAGAAGTGCTGGTCCCTTGGTGGTCTGTAGGGATACAATGTATTTGATGGAGTTGGGGGCTGGCGCGTAGCCTCCGACTATACGGCCCTGTATGAGGTTCTGACCTGCAGGGAGCCATGGAAACAACGTATAGTATTATACTGTGTATGTGATGTGTTATAATATACACTGAGTGTACAAAACATTAAGAACACCTTCCTCATATTGAGTTGCACCCCCCCCACTATATATTAAGCGTTTTTAATATATAGTATAATACATAGAATATACACTGAGTGTACAAAACATTAAGAACACCTGCTCCTTCCATGGCATTGACTGACCAGGTGAATCCAGGTGAAAGCTACGATCCCTTATTGATGTCACTTGTTAAATCCACTTTAATCAGTGTAGATGAAGGGGAGGAGACTGGTTAAATAAGGAGTTTTAAGCCTTGAAACAATTAAGACATGTATGAAAATGTATGCACTCACTAACTGTAAGTGGCTCTGGATAAGAGCGTCTGCTAAATGACTAAAATGTAAATGTAAATGTAAGACATGGATTGTGTATCTGTGCCATTCAGAGGGTGAATGGGCAAGACAAAAGATTGATGTGTCTTTGAATGAGGTAGGTGACCTCACCAGGCTCAGCTAGCAGTCATTACTGTTGCTGGTTCTGTGACCTCCGACTCCAGAGGCGAGTAAAGGCACCCCTGTCTGACCTGACCTTCTACCTGTGTCCTCTAGTGTCTCCTCTAGGATGTGTCCCAAATGGCACCCTATTCCCTACATAGCGCACTACTTTTGACCAGATCCCAATGGGCCCTAGTCAAAAGTAGTGCACTATAAAGGGAATAGGGTGCCGTTTGGGACGCATCCCTCCTCCTAGTGTTTCCTCTCTCCTCGACCTCACAGGGGCTGTGTAAAACCTGAGAGAGCTTGCCTTGCCTTCACAAGGTTATGCAACACTCAGCCACACTCACTTTCCTGTGGTCAGAATAGAAGAGAGAGGAGAAATCACTGTCATTGTTACTGTTGGTAATACTGTATGGGCCGGTTTCTACCTAGTTCCGGACAACAAGGCATGTTAAATAGAACATCTCCTTTGGGCATGTTGTTTAGTCCAGGACCAGGCTTAATCTGTTTTTTTAAGAAACCTGCGCTATGAGTTCAGATTAGATTTTCTATTGACAATCAAATTTATAATCTAAATTCTGTTCTGTTCAACATCAAAGGATCGTGATACCATTATAATACCATTATAACAAGTTAAAACAGATATCCAGATCCTGAGCATTACGTTTAACATTACAACTGCTGAGTACACAGGCTTCTACTTCAGGAGGCAGTCAGCATGCAAAGATGAGCAAGCAAGACAACACAATGCTAATCATGTATCGTTTTATCATGCATCGTTTTATCATGCATCGTTTTATCATGCATCGTTTTATCTTGCATCGTTTTATCATGTATCGTTTTATCATGCATCGTTTTATCATGCATATTATTGAAAGCAATTCATACATAAACACACAAATCATCAGCATATCTCTGGACTCTGAGTCACATAAAAACCTGAATAAATGATAATGAAGTATTCACTTTATGAATAAAATGACAACTAGGAGGAAAATGCTATACTTACAATTGACTGCCAAGAGCTCCAAAAGCACATAGCACAGACAGACTACTAGCAGGTTCATGATGAGAGGAGAGAGTGGAGTGCAGGCTGAGCAGTGTGATGCGATGCCGGACTGGAATAACACTTCTATATCCTCTCTGATTCCTATAACAGGAAGAAGGACATCTCACCAGACAGCGATGAGCAGAGATCCTCAGGTTTCTGAAAGTTCCGATTTCAGTCACCATGGCCACACTGTCCAGATACAATGTTATAGGATTTGGAGGGGAGAGAGGACGTAGCAGGACCGAGACCGTGCTCGAGGAATGAGAGAGAGGAGAGAAGAGAGGAGTAGAGAGAGAGAGAGTGAGAGAGAGAGGAGAGTAGAGAGAGCGAGATTTCTCTTTCTTTCGCTCTCTCTACCTCTACAGAGCGCTTCTCCTCGAGAGCTCGAGGAGACGAGAGGGGAGACAGAAGCTAGGAGAGAGAGACAGAGATAAAGAAAGAGCAACAAAGTGCACCTTCATAAACTGTCCCCCTTCTCTGACCCCCTGACTCTCCACAGAGGCCCTTACATTACACTGTCTCCACAGTAACATATCTCATGTCCTGTGTCATCAGCAGGCGCATCACACAGATTTTCCTCCTGTGGAAGTTCTCAATGGACCACTGTGTAAGAGTGTGTGTGTGTGTCTGGGAGATTAATTCTGTATTTTATACAGTCATACCATCTGAATAACACAAATGTATTTCCCTCTGTAGAATCAACGACATTTGACACTGTTATAGACTGAAGTTCAAACACTGGGCTTCTTGAGGTGTGCCATCTCACTTTACAGGGGTCATACCATATAAAGAATCAGGACAGATTTGACATAATTACAGTGGATAGTACTGCATTACACCCCCCTTGTGGAAGACTCTCCCCCGAGCCCTGACCTGTCCTTGTCCCACATTTAGGGAATTAATCATTCGTACCATATTGCACCTAGAAGAATATGGCTTATCTTTACTGCTCTTCCCACAGTGAGGTATTTTCTGAACCCAAGGCCTACAGTATAAACCACATGCCCTGTCATTTACTGGCAGATATAACCAAGGACAAATACTTTATACAGTATATAGGGCAGTGGATATAACCCAATGAGAATGGATATAACCCAATGAGAATGGATCAACCCAATGAGAATGGATATAACCCAATGAAAATGGATCTAACCCAATGAGAATGGATCTAACCCAATGAGAATGGTTAACCAATGAAATGGATCAACCAATGAGAATGGATTTACCCAATGAGAATGATCTAACCCAATGAGAAAGGATTATACCAATGAGAATTATCTCCCAATGAGAATGGATCTAAACCCCGAATGGATCTAACCATGAGAATGGATATAACCCCAAAGGAATGGATCTAACCCAATGGAATGGATATAACCAATGAGAAGGATCTTTAAACCCCAAAGAAAGGTATAACCCAAAAAAATGGATCTAACCAATGAGAAAGATATAAACCCCAAAGAGATGATCTTTAACCCATAGAATGGATATAACCCAATGAGAATGGATCTAACCCAATGAGAATGGATCTAACCCAATGAGAATGGATCTAACCCAATGAGAATAAACTCTCACTGAAATGTGTTTGTTTGTTAGTTAGTTAGTTAGTTAGTTAGTTAGTTGTATGGGTCTATTCAAAGACATACTGCATACATCATACACACTATATTCTGTCTACATATGGTCTAGTTTTCACTAACGCTATTTAAACACAAACGTGGAAATCAAGGTTCCTGCATTTATGCCTGTGGGTTTATTCCGTTAGTGCAAATGTGCCTCAGTAACATTGTCTCCTCTATCACGAGCGTATACCTACATCCTATACAGTATATTATTCACGTCTATATACATCATTGATCACGAGTAGGGCGAGACAGAAGCTGCTTCAGCATACACCTGTTTGTGCCAACACAACATGTTTTACACACATTGAGATTGAGATCATACTCTGTCTGCTGCAAAGTTCCAGTTGAAAGGAAAGCATCTCTGGGCTGAAAAGGCCATTATAGTTTGGCCTCGATTGGTACCTGTGTGTCTGTGTCACATCGGGTGGCCTCCTAACTGCACTGTGCGCCACATGCACACACAAATCTACAGTACACACACACACACACACGCGCACATACACACACTCACACGCACACACGCACACACGCACACACATACATGCACGTAGACATCCTGTTTGTGCCTGTAGATATGTTCTCTGGGGAGAGGGGAACATACTATCACCTTTCTCCTTCACTGTAATGGAGACACCTGGGGGAGTTACCACAACAAGTCGCATACTATGAATGACGTCAACCCACCCAGCTGGCGGTTTGTATTGATCCTTGATGAGAACTACAGACAAACAAGAGAAGAACATGGGGGCCCACAGACTCACAGGAAGGATGTTAGGTTTGCACGAAGTCACTTGTGTGCTTGTGTAGCGTTTCAACCTGCACTGTCACAGTCTACCTTTCAGATAAGTGGTCATTTTCATGAAAAATTGATAAAAAGAAAGAGGAAGGGCTGGAATCAAATCAAATCAAATGCTATTGGTCGCATACACATATTTAGCAGATGTTATGCTTGTGTTCCTAGCTCCAACAGTGCAGTAATATCTAAAAATACACAACAATACACACAAATCTAAAGGACACACTACCAGTCAAAGGTTTGGACACACCTACTCATTCAAGGGTTTTTCTTTATTTTTTACTATTTTCTACATTGTAGAATAATAGTGAAGACATCAAAACGATGACATAACACATATGGAATCATGTAGTTAACAAAGAAGTGTTAAACAAATCAAAATATATTTTATATTTGAGATTCTTCAAATAGCCATCCTTTGCCTTGATGACAGCGTTGCACACTCTTGGCATTCTCTCAACCAGCTTCACCTGGAATGCTTTTCCAACTGTCTTGAAGGAGTTCCCGCATATGCTGAGCACTTGTTGGCTGCTTTTCCTACACCATGCCGTCCAACTCATCCCAAACCTCAATTGGGTTGAGGTCGGGGGATTGTGGAGGCCAGGTCATCTGATGCAGCACTCCATCACTCTCCTTCTTGGTAAAATGACCATGAAGGCCTGATTCACACAGTCTCCTCTGAACAGTTAATGTTGAGATGTGTCTGTTACTTGAACTCTGTGAAGCATTTATTTGGGCTGCAATTTCTGAGGCTGGTAACTCTAATGAACTTATCCTCTGCAGCAGAGGTAACTCTGGGTCTTCCATTCCTGTGGCGGCCCTCATGAGAGTCAGTTTCATCATAGCGATGGTTTTTGTGACTGCACTTGAAGAATCTTTCAAAGTTCTTGAAATGTTCCGTATTGACTGACCTTCATGTCTTAAAGTAATGATGGACTGTCGTTTCTATTTGCTTATTTGAGCTGTTCTTGCCATAACATAGACTTGGTATTTTACCAAATAGGGCTATCTTCTGTATACCCCCCTACCTTGTCACAACACAACTGATTGGCTCAAACGCATTAAGAAGGAAATAAATTCCACAAATTAACTTTTAAGAAGGCACACCTGTTAATTGAAATGCATTTCAGGTGACTACCTCATGAAGCTGGTTGAGAGAATGCCAAGAGTGTGCAAAGCTGTAATCAAGGCAAAGGGTGGCTATTTGAAGAATCTCAAATATAAAAATATATTTATATTAGTTTAACACTTTTTTGGTTACTACATGATACCATATGTGTTATTTTATAGTTTCGATGTCTTCACTATTCTTCTACAATGTAGAAAAAAATAAAAAAATAAAGAAAAACCGTTGACTGAGTAGGTGTGTCCAAACTTTTGACTGGTACTGTATATATATGTGATGGAGTTAAAGACATTTTATGTACAGATAAGAATATATAGTAATAGAAGAATACGTGGATAAAATAGTATATGTACAGAATAGTTGAAAGGATGGCCTGCAGATAAGATTATCTAAAAGTGGGTAAAACAGTATGAAACATTATTAAAGTGACCAGTGTTCCATTATTAAAGTGACGGTGTTCTGAGTATGTACTTAGACAGAGCCTCTAGGGGGTGGTCCTGAGCCGAAACAGGTAATTCAGGGGACACAGGTGAGTGCACTTAAGACCAGTCCAGGTGTTCAGGACCGAATTGGAACTGCTCTAAGGTGCAGGGTTGAGTACCGGTGGTAGCCGGCTTTGACAGTGACAATCCAGGCAGACTGGGCAAAGAGATCGGAAGGAAGATGGTATGTAGAAGAATGAGAAGGTATTGTAGAAGACAGGCATGTTTAAGGCCCAGTTCAGTCAAAAATTTTTCCTGTGTTTTATATATACTTCCACACAATGAGGTTGGAATAATACAGTGACATTTAGAAAATTATGATAATGTCATTTTAGTGTAAGAGCTGTTTGAAAAGAATGCCTGAAATTTCAGCCTGTTTTGGTGGAATGGAGTTTTGGCCTGCCTGGTGATATCACCAGGTGGTAAATTGGTTAAAACCAATAAGAAAGAGAGTTCCAAACCTTTCTGTCAATAACAGCTAGTTTTCAGTTTTTCCCTCCCCACTCAGACCACAGTCCTAGCAAAATTCTTGCTTGAGAAATTGCTCTTTGCTAAAAAGCTATTTTTGTTTATTTTAATTTAAAACGATCACAGTAAGATACTTAATTATTAGCCATACATTATTTGATATTGAGATACAAACATCTGCATCGGACCTTTAAGCACAGCAATAATAATTTAATGCCACTGTCCTTTCCCCCCCTCCATGTCTCTCACACTGACACTATCATACCATCCAGCCAAACTACACAATAACCAACATGCCTGGAGACTCTTCTGTGACCAGACGACGTATTCAGTTCCACCTCCCTAAACAAGCTCTTTTCTTCCCCACTATTAGCAGACAATGAATGCCAGAACACAAATAATCAATGGTGAGTCCCTAGAAAGAACAGGGGGGGGGGGGGGGGGGACGACAATAAAAGGGACGATGTCTGTCTTTGGGATGTACTAGGTCAGTCTCAGCTTTGTGTCTGTCACATAACCATCTCACAGCCAGGGTCATGTTCACTAGGTCACCAAACAGAAGAAAACAGAAGAAAACACAGAGAGGGACTACCTGAACCTGTCCCTATTTTTTCGTTTTTCCGTTGCAAAGTGTTTTGGTTTGTTGTGCACTAATGAATAGGACCCTGTTACGTAGAGACACAGTAGGGTGGACAATAACCACAATAACACGTACACAAGAGGGAGAGCAGGTATGGTTACAATATAAAAAGTTGGTGGGTGTTTCCCAGGTGTTCTGTCTGGGTACGAGAGGAAGGGGAATGTGTGAAGACTTGTCTGCAGATAGTGTTTAGTTGACTCTCAGAAGGGTGAGTAGGTTAATGATGCTTTGGACATACATTTTATGTTTGCAGTCTTTGGTAAAATGAAAATGTAAGACATTGAAGAAGACATAACTTATGTTTTAGTCTTTGGTAACATGTACAGTGGGGAGAACAAGTATTTGATACACTGCCGATTTTGCAGGTTTTCCTACTTACAAAGCATGTAGAGGTCTGTCATTTTTATTATCGGTACACTTCAACTGTGAGAGACGGAATCTAAAACAAAAATCCAGAAAATCACATTGTATGATTTTTAAGTAATTATTTTGCATTTTATTGCATGACATAAGTATTTGATACATCAGAAAAGCAGAACTTAATATTTGGTACAGAAACCTTTGTTTGCAATTACAGAGATCATATGTTTCCTGTAGGTCTTGACCAGGTTTGCACACACTTCAGCAGGGATTTTGGCCCACTCCTCCATACAGACCTTCTCCAGATCCTTCAGGTTTCGGGGCTGTCGCTGGGCAATACGGACTTTCAGCTCCCTCCAAAGATGTTCTATTGGGTTCAGGTCTGGAGACTGGCTAGGCCATTCCAGGACCTTGAGATGCTTCTTACGGAGCCACTCCTTAGTTGCCCTGGCTGTGTATTTCTGGTCGTTGTCATGCTGGAAGACCCAGCCACGACCCATCTTCAATGCTCTTACTGAGGGAAGGAGGTTGTTGGCCAAGATCTCGCGATACATGGCCCCATCCATCCTCCCCTCAATACGGTGCAGTCGTCCTGTCCCCTTTGCAGAAAAGCATCCCCAAAGAATTATGTTTCCACCTCCATGCTTCACGGTTGGGATGGTGTTCTTGGGGTTGTACTCATCCTTCTTCTTCCTCCAAACACAGCGAGTGGAGTTTAGACCAAAAAGCTCTATTTTTGTCTCATCAGACCACATGACCTTCTCCCATTCCTCCTCTGGATAATCCAGATGATCATTGGCAAACTTCAGACGGGCCTGGACATGCGCTGGCTTGAGCAGGGGGACCTTGCGTGCGCTGCAGGATTTTAATCCATGACGGCGTAGTGTGTTACTAATGGTTTTCTTTGAGACTGTGGTCCCAGCTCTCTTCAGGTCATTGACCAGGTCCTGCCGTGTAGTTCTGGGCTGATCCCTCACCTTCCTCATGATCATTGATGCCCCACGAGGTGAGATCTTGCATGGAGCCCCAGACCGAGGGTGATTGACCGTCATCTTGAACTTCTTCCATTTTCTAATAATTGCGCCAACAGTTGTTGCCTTCTCACCAAGCTGCTTGCCTATTGTCCTGTAGCCCATCCCAGCCTTGTGCAGGTCTACAATTGTATCCCTGATGTCCTTACACAGCTCTCTGGTCTTGGCCATTGTGGAGAGGTTGGAGTCTGTTTGATTGAGTGTGTGGACAGGTGTCTTTTATACAGGTAACAAGTTCAAACAGGTGCAGTTAATACAGGTAATGAGTGGAGAACAGGAGGGCTTCTTAAAGAAAATCTAACAGGTCTGTGAGAGCCGGAATCCTTACTGGTTGGTAGGTGATCAAATACTTATGTCATGCAATAAAATGCAAATTAATTACTTAAAAATCATACAATGTGATTTTCAGGATTTTTGTTTTAGATTCCGTCTCTCACAGTTGAAGTGTACCTATGATACAAATTACAGACCTCTACATGCTTTGTAAGTAGGAAAACCTGCAAAATCGGCAGTGTATCAAATACTTGTTCTCCCCACTGTATCACAATTGTAACATAAATATTGAATACCTTTTTTTATGAAATATTGAGTGCATTAGATAGATCACAATTAGTGAATTTCTTTATACACAGGGGTCAGAGCATGCACAGAATTGTTCGTTTTTTTCTCAGAAGCTTGGATGATCTGGGAGATTTTATGGATATGAGTAAATTGATAGATCAATTAAGAATTATTGTGTGATTCTAACTAACCGTTCATGTCTGCTTTGGAACAGACCAGACCAGACCAGACCAGACCAAACCACCATGGCAGAATCATGTCATCACTGATCCTACTGGTCGTCCTCACCATCAAAGGTAAACTATCATGTTTAACACCTTTAACATCCCCCACCCCTTCCTATTGTTCACTTGAATGAATCCACTTTTCATGTATTTAAATTGTGTCTATTATCATTCATTCCCTCCCAGGTGTACTGGGCCAGAGGATCATCGGGGGTCAGGAGGTGAAATCCTACTTTATAAAGTACCAAGCCTCCATCCAGTATAACAACTTCCACTACTGTGGAGGCACCCTCATACACCCTCAGTGGGTGGTGTCTGCTGCCCACTGCTGGAAACCGTGAGTAGTGCAACTTAAAATGAATCTTGTAAAGGTCGCGTCCCCTTGCTCAGACGTTGCATGCATCAACCAATGGTGGCGTGCTACGTCATCGACAGATTACTATATCATATGATGTGGTTAGCAGATACTTAAAATACCTATCCAGGCATTGTAAGATGTGGCATGCGTCAGCCACAACTGGGCAGAGGAACGCACAGCCACTGTGTATGGGGTGCCGAGAGTCTAGCTAATCTCGACCACCAGCTGGCTCTCTCTCCGAACCTATTCGGTCTGGCAATTGAAGCTACGTCTTGTACTACATCGGGGGTCTTCAATTCCGGTCCTGGAGGGCCGAAACACCTCTGTTTTTCGTCCTCTCCTTCTAATCAGGGGCTAATTCAGACCTGGGACACCAGGTGAGTGCAATTAACTACCAGGTAGAAATAAAAAACAGAAGTGTTTCGGCCCTCCAGGACCGGAATTGAAGAACCCTGTACTACATGATAGGTTATGATACCATCATAGGATAGAGTTAGGCATTTATAATGGTACTGGTACTCCCTGTATGCAACTTAATTATTGTGTATTTTATTCGTCTTGTAAGTAGTCCTGTTATTATTTTTTTATTATTTATTATTTTTAATTCTGCATCGTTTTAACTCAGAATTTCAAGACACCTGTTATATTCGGCACATGTAACAAATTCAATTTGATATAAATTTTTTTTGTCATTTAGAAGAAGCTCTTTGCGACTTACAGGAGCAATTAGGGTTCAGTGCCTTGCTCAATGACACATCGGCTGATTTTTCACTTAGTCGCCTCCGGGATTCAAACCAGAGACCTTTCGGTTAATAAAAAAGAAATCAGTAAATATGAAGCATGCAGTTACTAATAATATCAATAATATCGGTTACCCCAATAAGGGTGTTTTGTACATAAATATCGAGCGTCAAATTTTGATATCTGAGTTTAGATATTGAATATAAAATCACTGTAGCAAGTTTGCAACATTAGTACTATTTACATAGACGACTGGTAATTGTGTTAAGGGACAGATCAGTTGCGCTGGGGGATCTCGAACGTCAAACACAATCAGGCTCTCCCGACTCACGGCTCCATTCTTGCGCAGGTTGTTCTTCTTGGAGGGCGTCAAGCTCTAGTCATCGCTCATGTAGGGAGGCGAGGGAGGGGCTGGTTAGTCGACGTCGGGGTAGGCGGAGGGCGGGGACATGGGGAGTGGAGGGTGTCCGCGGAGGGCCCTGCCTCTGTCCGAGTGTTCAGGCGCTAGCGGCTCCTCGCCCTCTGCTGCTCACCTAGACGCTTCTTTAAAACCTCTTAAGGATCGGACCCTTTTTTTTTTTCAATTTTCGCCTAAAATGACATACCCAAATCTAATTGCCTGTAGTTCAGGACCTGAAGCAAGGATATGCATTTTCTTGATACCATTTGAAAGGAAACACTTTGAAGTTTGTGGAAATGTGAAATTAATGTAGGAGAATATAATACATTAGATCTGGTAAAATATAGTACGAACAAAAAACCATGCGTTTTTTTACAATTATTTTTTATCATCTTTGAAATGCAAGAGAAAGGCCACAATATATATAGGGATGTAGCTCAGTTGATAGAGCATGGCGTTTGCAACGCCAGGGTTGTGGGTTCGATTCCCACAGGGGGTATGAAAAATAAAAAAAATAATGTATGCACTAACTGTAAGTAGCTCTGAATAAGAGCGTCTGCTAAATGAAAAAAAATAAAAAAATAAAATAAAATAAAATAAAAATATATATATATATATAATATTGAAGTTTAAGCGCAATTTAGATGTTGGCCACTAGATGGCAGCAGTGTGTGTGCAAAGTTTCAGATTGATCCAGTGACGCATTGCATCACTGGACTATTTTGTATCAAGTCTGCCAAAATGTGCCGAATTGGTCAGTTGGTACATTTTCAAGTACATAACTATAGAGAACATGCAAAAATGATATGGTAATACAAAATGTAAGTTTACACACTCCCAGGAATGTCATACATGATGGATCATTAGCTTATACACTAACTTTCACACATCTAGATGGCCGGGCGGGGTGGGTGTGGAGCCAGAGACAGCAGGGGTTCAAACTGTAGAACCCAGTTCCTACATTTGAATATAAAAATTGATTTTATCAAACAAAACTATGCTACATTTTATCTCTGGGACCCTTAGGATGACAAATCAGAGCAAGATTATTGAATGTAAGTACATTATTTACCTTCAGAGTTGAATGTATCAAAGCAGTGATACATTTTTTGTTGTTGTGCACTCTCCTCAAACAATAGCATGGTATTTTTTCACTGTAATAGCTACTGTAAATTGGACAGTGCAGTTAGATTAACAAGAATTTAAGCTTTCTGCCCATATAAGACATGTCTATGTCCTGGAAAGTTTGCTGTTACTTACAACAGTCATGCTAATCACATTAGCGCACGTTAGCTCAACCGTCCCGTATACGGGACACCGATCCCGTAGAGGTTAACATGGCTTCACGCATAAATTACATTCTTCAATAATCAATAGGTATACTATTTATTGAAATAACCATTAAACAGCAGGACATCTTACAGATTGTGTCTTTAGAATGAAGTGGAATGATTCATGCTAGTTATCATTTAAGTTCCAAGATACCGGGTTGCCAGATCAGAGTGCTAACCTGCTCTCCTCCATCTCTCTACAGGGCCAACCTGCTCAAAGTGGTTCTGGGTGAGCACAGTTTCTCCAGTCTGGAGGGCTTTGAGCAGGAGTTCAATGTTTCCAAGGTGCTGGTCTACTACATGTACAATTACATGACCTTTGACAACGACATCATGCTGCTCAAAGTAAGGGATACGATGGTTTTCATTTGATGCATTTATCCCTATCTTGCCGAACTACTGACAGTAAGGTTAGGGTTAAAGGGCATATGATATATTGTATTACCGCAGATGCCATAAAGGTCCATAGTGGTGTGCTTAATTTTATCTCACTCTATGGCTTTACCTCTCTCCCTCTCTCCCCATCCCCTCCATCCCTCTATCATCAGCTGGAGAGGCCGGCCATCCTCAACGCCAACGTCCAGCCCGCCGTCCTGCCCAGAGTGGACACGTCCCCGTTGCAGCAGGGAACGGCCTGTACGGTGAGCGGCTGGGGGGTCACCAACATCTTCAGCTACTACCTGTCCCCCGTGCTCCGAGCCGTGGACGTCAACGTCATCACCAACTGCCAGTATTACTACTACTTCAGGATCACTGACAACATGCTCTGTGCTGGCTATAGCTTTGGAGGGAAGGACTCCTGTCAGGTGAGAGAGAAGAAGAGATCTGTACAGGCTCTATTTCAGTGTCCATAGTCCACAACTAGCACACTACTTAGAATGAAGGAAGGTATTGGGCATGCATTCTAGGTAGAAAGCTAGTATGGACATTGGAATGTAGCCTGTGTCAGACTGTCAGACTGTCAGTCTTGTGATGTATGCTATGAGTATGTCATGTACTGTATATCTACAGTTGAAGTCGGAAGTTTACATACACTTAGGTTGGAGTCATTAAAACATGTTTTTCAACCACTGCATACATTTCTTGTTAACAAACTATAGTTTTGGCAAGTCGGTTAGGACATCTACTTTGTGCATGACACAAGTAATTTTTCCAACAATTGTTTACAGACAGATTATTTCGCTTATAATTCACTGTATCACAATTCCAGTAGGTCAGAAGTTTACATACACTAAGTTGACTGTGCCTTTAAACAGCTTGGAAAATTCCAGAAAATGATGTCATGGCTTTAGAAGCTTCTGATAGGCTAATTTACATAATTTGAGTCAATTGGAGGTGTACCTGTGGATGTATTTCAAGGCCTACCTTCAAACTCAGTGCCTCTTTGCTTGACATTATGGGAAAATCAAAAGAAATCAGCCAAGACCTCAGGAAAAAGAATTGTAGACCTCCACAAGTCTGGTTCATCTTTGGGAGCAATTTCCAAACGCCTGAAGGTACCACGTTCATCTGTACAAACAATGGTACGCAAGTATAAACACCATAGGACCACGCAGCCGTCATACCGCTCAGGAAGGAGATGCGTTCTGTCTCCTAGAGATGAACGTACTTTGGTGCGAAAAGTGCAAATCAATCCCAGAACAACAGCAAAGGACCTTGTGAAGATGCTGGAGGAAACAGGTACAAAAGTATCTATATCCACAGTAAAACAAGTCCTATATTGACATAACCTGAAAGGCCGCTCAGCAAGGAAGAAGCCACTGCTCCAAAACCGCCATAAAAAAGCCAGACTACGGTTTGCAACTGCACATGGGGACAAAGATCATACTTTTTTGAGAAATGTCCTCTGGTCTGATGAAACAAAAATAGAACTGTTTGGCCATAATGACCATCGTTATGTTTGGAGGAAAAAGGGGGTTGCTTGCAAGCCGAAGAACACCATCCCAACCGTGAAGCACGGGGGTGACAGCATCATGCTGTGGGGGTGCTTTGCTGCATCAGGGACTGGTGCACTTCACAAAATAGATGGCATCATGAGGAAGGAAAATTATGTGGATATATTAAAGCAACATCTCAAGACATCAGTCAGAAAGTTAAAGCTTGGTCGCAAATGGGTCTTCCAAATTGACAATGACCCCAAGCATACTTCCAAAGTTGTGGCAAAATGGCTTAAGGACAACAAAGTCAAGGTATTGGAGTAGCCATCACAAAGCCCTGACCTCACTCCTATAGAAAATGTGTGGGCAGAACTGAAAAAGCGTGTGCTAGCAAGGAGGCCTACAAACCTGACTCAGTTACACCAGCTCTGTCAGGAGGAATGGGCCAAAATTCACCCAACTTATTGTGGGAAGCTTGTGGAAGGCTACCCGAAACGTTTGACCCAAGTTAAACAATTTAAAGGCAATGCTACCAAATACTAATTGAGTGTATGTAAACTTCTGACCCACTTGGAATGTGATGAAAGAAATAAAAGCTGAAATAAACCATTCTCTCTACTATTATTCTGACATTTCACATTCTTAAAATAAAGTGATGATCCTAACTGACCTAAGACAGGGAATTCTTACTAGGATTAAATGTCAGGAATTGTGAAAAACTGAGTTTAAATGTATTTGGCTAAGGTGTATGTAAACTTCCAACTTCAACTGTAGGTATGCCAAGCAAATTTCGCTGTGGGATATTAAAATATTCTATTTACTTTTATTCTATCAGGGTGACTCGGGCGGCCCACTCATCTGTAACGGGCACTTTGAGGGCATTGTTTCCTGGGGCATCAGCTGTGCCAACCCCAACTTCCCTGGCGTCTACACCAAGATCAGGATGTACCTCAGCTGGATCAACTGGATCATCCAGAACGACAGCTAGTGACTTGTTGTTGGTCTTCTCCTTTCTAAAGATCAGAATGGGATCAACTTACAGTGAGGGGAAAAAAAGTATTTGATCCCCTGCTGATTTTGTACGTTTGCCCACTGACAAAGAAATGATCAGTCTATAATTTTAATGGTAGGTTTATTTGAACAGTGAGAGACAGAATAACAACTAAAAAATCCAGAAAAACGCATGTCAAAAATGTTATAAATTGATTTGCATTTTAATGAGGGAAATAAGTATTTGACCCCCTCTCAATCAGAAAGATTTCTGGCTCCCAGGTGTCTTTTATACAGGTAACGAGCTGAGATTAGGAGCACACTCTTAAAGGGAGTGCTCCTAATCTCAGCTTGTTACCTGTATAAAAGACACCTGTCCACAGAAGTCAATCAGATTCCAAACTCTCCACCATGGCCAAGACCAAAGAGCTCTCCAAGGATGTCAGGGACGAGATTGTAGACCTACACAAGGCTGGAATGGGCTACAAGACCATCGCCAAGCAGCTTGGTAAGAAGGTGACAACAGTTGGTGCGATTATTCGCAAATGGAAGAAACACAAAATAACTGTCAATCTCCCTCGGCCTGGGGCTCCATGCAAGATCTCACCTCGTGGAGTTGCAATGATCATGAGAACGGTGAGGAATCAGCCCAGAACTACACAGGAGGATCTTGTCAATGATCTCAAGGCAGCTGGGACCATAGTCACCAAGAAAACAATTGGTAACACACTACGCCGTGAAGGACTGAAATCCTGCAGCGCCTGCAAGGTCCCCCTGCTCAAGAAAGCACAAATACAGGCCCATCTGAAGTTTGCCAATGAACATCTGAATGATTCAGAGGAGAACTGGGTAAAAGTGTTGTGGTCAGATGAGACCAAAATTGAGCTCTTTGGCATCAACTCAACTCGCCGTGTTTGGAGGAGGAGGAATGCTGCCTATGACCCCAAGAACACCATCCCAACTGTCAAACATGGAGGTGGAAACATTATGCTTTGGGGGTGTTTTTCTGCTAAGGGGACAGGTCAACTTCACTGCATCAAAGGGACGATGGACGGGGCCATGTACCATCAAATCTTGCTCGCTGTGTTTGTACCCTTTACATCTATTGAGAAACATCAGGAAAAGACGCAAGGGTTGGTTTATTTTGGCCAGTCACCAAACAGAAATCATGTTTAAGACACAATAAACTGTTAGTTGACGTATTTCATTTAAAAATGGAAATATCACATTTACATAAGTATTCAGACCCTTTATTCAGTACTTTGTTGAAGCACAAACATTTCTAAAAACCAGTTTTCGCTTTGTCATTATGGGGTATTGTGTGTAGATTTGATTTTTATTTATTAAATCAATTTTAGAATAATGTAACGAAACAAAACGTGGAAAAAGTCAAGGGGTCTGAATACTTTCCGAAGGCAGTGTGTGTGACTTAGTATGTCTTAGAAAACACTTTATGCATCTTGTTAATTTCATCTGTTGAGAAATAACAGACATTGATGCATCATCTGCATCTTTCTAAGAAACACACGTTTCTAAGGGAGTTTCCCTCTGTGATTTTCCATGTCTCTACTACGTGGCCATAAAACAATAAAGATTCATATTTTTACCAAGCTGTTCTTTTACTAATCAGTAGCTACTCATCTACAAAACTAATTCTGTTTTACCAGCACACAAACCTCATTCTGTGAACTTTATACACAGCCACAAAGAAAACAGTTACAGTAAGCTAACTGCACACACACAACTCAGCCAGACCCATCAGAGAGGGGGAGGATATACAAGCAACAGGGATTGGCTATAAAGCAACTCCCGCCCCTCCCCTTATCTATTACAGTGTAAGGTAGACTCATACTTCCACAAACTAAGAGAAACTCAACAACAACAGACACCCAAACACAGACTCAGAAGCTAGGATACCACAGACACCCAGACAGACTCAGAAGCTAGCATACCACAGACACCCAGGCACAGAGCTGAAGTGAGGCGAAGACTTTTGGTGGATGGCCTGGTGTCAAGAAGGGCAGCGAGGAAGCCACTTCTCTTCAGGAAAAACATCAGGGACAGACTGATATTCTGCAAAAGGTACAGGGATTGGACTGCTGAGGACTGGGGTAAAGTCATTTTCTCTGATGAATCCCCTTTCCGATTGTTTGGGGCATCCGGAAAAAAGCTTGTCCGGAGAAGACAAGGTGAGCGCTACCATCAGTCCTGTGTCATGCCAACAGCAAAGCATCCTTAGACCATTCATGTGTGGGGTTGCTTCTCAGCCAAGGGAGTGGGCTCACTCACAATTTTGCCTAAGAACACAGCCATGAATAAAGAATGGTACCAACACATCCTCCGAGAGCAACTTCTCCCAAACATGCATTTTCCAGCATGATGGAGCACCTTGCCTTAAGGCAAAAGTGATAACTAAGTGGCTCGGGGAACAAAACATTGAAATGTTGGGTCCATGGCCAGGAAACTCCCCAGACCTTAATCTCATTGAGAACTTGTGGTCGATCCTCAAAGGCGGGTGGACAAACAAAAACCCACAAATTCTGACAAGCTCCAAGCATTGATTACGCAAGAATGGGCTGCCATCAGTCAGGATGTGGCCCAGAAGTTAATTGACAGCATGCCAGGGCGGATTGCAGAGGTCTTGAAAAAGAAGGGTCAACACTGCAAATATTGACTCTTTGCATAAACTTAATGCAATTGTCAATAAAAGCCTTTGACACTTATGGAATGCTTGTAATTATACTTCAGTATACCATAGTAACATCTGACAAAAATATCTAAAAACACTGAAGCAGCAAACTTTGTGAATACCAATATATGTGTCATTCTCAAAACTTTTGACAACGACTGTACATTGTCATACTTGAGTAAAAGTAGAGATACCTTAATAGAAAATGACTCTAGTAAAAGTGAAAGTCACCCAGTAAAATACTACTTGAGTAAGTCTAAAAGTATTTGTTTTTAAATATACTGAAGTATGAAGAGTAAATGGAATTGCTAAAATATACTTCAGTATTAAAAGTAAAAGTATAAATCATTTCAAATTTCTTATTTTAAGCAAACCAGACGACACAATTTTATTTTATTTATTTATTTATTTATTGATGGATAGCCAGGGGCACACTCCAACACTCAGACATAATTTACAACAAAGCATTTGTGTTTAGTGAGTCCGCCAGATCAGAGGCAGTAGGGATGACCAGGGATGTTCTCTTGATAAGTGTGTGAATTGGACCATTTTCCTGTCCTGCTAAGCATTCAAAATGTAACTTCTAAATTAGTACTTTTGGGTTTCAGGGAAAATGTATGGAATAAAAAGTACATTATTTTCTTTAGGAATGTAGTGAAGTAAAAGTAAAAGTTGTCAAAAATATAAACAGTAAAGTAAAGTACAGATACCCAAAAAAACTACTTAAGTAGTACTTTAAATTATTTTTTACTTAAGTGCTTTACACCACTGATGCTGACCACATGGAAATAAGTGTTGCATAAAGTCAGAGATGCTTTCATTTGTTATACTTTGTAGAATTTCAAAAATACATTTTTCAAAAATCACGATCAAACGATTGGTCTATCAATCAATCAATCAATCAAGAGAGGAAAGGGGAGACTTCTCTTTAGCTCTGCCTGCTCTACCTGATTGTTGGTGAATCAGATGTGTTAACCCCAATATATAATGTTAAGCTCTTATTGACCATGCCAAAAACTCAATACATGACAGTAAATGTGATCTTTAGGCTGCAATGTGGAGAATGCGTGTTACAATCTGGCGGTGTGTGCAGAAAGGAACGCCATCTCTTAAAGCAGTGTCAGAGGGTTACGGGAGCTTCGAGGCCGTCGCTATCGCCAGGTACAGTGCTCTTGGAGCTGTTCTAGGTTACGTCCCAAATCTCTAAATCCATTCTTCACCACTCCAATGCTGATCCCTGGTGTCAGGAACGTGTTATGACATCTTGACAACAGCCAAACGTTCTCATACAACTGTGTCAGAATGGCATATAATATAATATGCATAGTGCAGTGCGCAACGATATTCATTTTATTTTCATCAACTGTATTGTAAAATGTCTTGTATCTATAATATCTGCAGTGACTTAATTGACCAATTCATCTCACCATGCGGTGGCTGCAGACAGTTCATGAGAGAGGTAAGGATCATTCAAGCGTGGCGTCAGTGTGTCATTTACGGCATCTCCACTGTAGGAGTAGTATGTCTCCTTCTGTTCCTATGCCTTCTGAGTGCTTATAGGTCCAAGTTACATTCTGGTTACCAAAGCAGTTGTAGAGCAGGAAAGGTTATCTAAGGTGTCCCATGTACTACAACATGCTTATGCTTGTCTCTCTTCCTCCTCCTCCTCCTCCTCCACCTCTTCCTCCTCCACCTCCACCTCTTCCTTCTCCTCCACCACCTCTTCCTCCTCCTCCACCTCTTCCTCCTCCTCCTCCACCTCTTCCTTCTCCTCCTCCTCCACCACCTCTTCCTCCTCCTCCACCACCACCCCTTCCTCCTCCTCCACCACCATCTCTTCCTCCTCCTCCACCAACACATCTTCCTCATCCTCCCCCACCACCTCTTCCTCCTCTTCCTCCTCCACCTCTTCCTCCTCCACCTCCACCTCTCCTTCTCCTCCTCCTCCACCACCACCTCTTCCTCCTCCACCACCACCTCTTCCTCCTCCTCCTCCTCCTCCTCCACCACCTCCTCCTCCTCCTCCTCCTCTCCAGTTTGGGGCCAGCTGGGACGTGTATCTGTCCAAGCCAGACGGCTCGTACGTAGAGATGAACGTAAGCAATCTGCTTCCTGTCTCCTTCGGCCCTGAAGACCTGTCCATGAAGAAAGTCTTAAAGATCCCCAACGAGTACTAACCTGTTCATCTACTACCTGTTAACCTATTACCTGTAGACTACCTGTTATAAACTACCACTGTTTCATATTTAATCCTAATAGGAAACATAAAGCATTGGTGCTTTTTAAGTCAGGAGAGAGGAGTAGTTAAA